AATGAACTACTATTACCGTTTATCTTCAAAACTAATCACTTCTTAAAATTTCAACTGATCTTAAATCACAACAACTGTTCAGGTAAGACAAATTTGTAAGCACTAATCAAAACCACATTTCCCTACTCAAGTTACTAACAAAATTTAAATTTGAGTCATAGAAAAACACCTGGCAAAAATGTGTAAAATTATAATAATGTGGGGTGCTCGATAGACTTACCTCCACGTGGTGCACCCTGGGCAACGTAAACTCATACGGCAAAAAAGTCTATAAACCGGCAGTTGACTTCTGACTTCAAACTACCATGACACCAAATTCGACCCACTTCCACAGATCCCTCCTTTCCTTTTCCTCGACCCTTGTGTGTGTCTGTCTCTTTTACATCTTTGAATCACCTCCCTGTTCCCCTTCTCAACTTCTGTTATTTCGTTTTTCCTCCCCTCTTTGAAGCCAGAAGTCAACTAAAGGGCTACCAGTAGCAATCAGACTACTAGTAAAGTGTAGTTTGATATAAATGAATAATAAGGTTAACAATTACCCGTCCAAATCATCAATACCAAATATCTACCACCACAAACCCATCTAAATAACTCAAATCAAGCCATATGAATGCACGCAAAAACTTTAATTCGAACAGCTAATACTATCAAAACATCATTCATATTTTCTTCACTCCCTAGGCTTATCCATTTGTGAAGGATCGGAGAAATTCGCTTCATAATACAATGAAGGCGGGAATACCGGTGCTGCTCGAGATGACCCATCCTCCTTAAGCGATTCAACAGAACTCCTAGAAAATCGGACAGGTATACTTGTAGCATTTGCCGATTGTACCTCACCAGAAACGCATTTCATCCTGGATCTTGAATTGATTGGGGAAGAGGAAGTGTTGTTGACTCTGCTGGATCGATTTGAATAAGACACTTCGCTCGCATATCCCATAGTTGAAATGCTGTTATGTGTGGAATTAGGCCTATATGTTTGAGGCAGTGAAACATGACTACTATTTCTTACATTGACTGGAACGTGTTCCAGATGATTTGCAGTGACTAACCATGCATTGTTTTCTATATTTTTTCCAAAATAATCAATATTGCTGAAATTATTTGGCTCCGAGTTTGCACGGAAATGTCCATGATTATGAAATCCGAAATTCAAGTGACTGTCGTTTACTGGATCATGTGAGGCATATTTTCGACGTGTCATAGGGGCTGCAATCATTGGCGCTTGGTAGTTTACGGGGAAGTGGGGTTCCCATTGAGCTCCATTGCCAGTGAAACTGTTTGTCTTCGCATATGAATTATAATTTTCATGACAGGGTACCCCATAAGGCAAGCATCGACCATAATCCGAAGTAAATGGAATGTTGACGGGATCAATCCACTTTATTGGTATATGACATGGGCCTGGATAAGAAAGATTGTTAGTCCCGTAGTCGAGTTTCTGTGAGTTAGGATAGGTTGAGACGGTTCCAAAGTTTGTCAGATTGTTTGCACCTGGATGTCCACCGCAGTTAGCCTGGTTGACTGGCCATACCCCATTAAGTCCCGTTTCGTTAGTAGTTGTGTCGTAATATCCCATTTTGACATTGGTACTTGGATGCACGTAATTCGTAAATTCGTTCGACTTTGAAGCCACTGGGAAAGTTTCATTAATAGGTCCTCCGTAATGATTACAACTATTATCTCCCGGAACACAAGATATACAATTGGAATAAACTGCCTCTGCAGCAGATTCTCGATTGTTTGAGATGTCGTAATCTTCAGCTTTCCCACGGTTTAGTAGAGAAACAAAATCTTTTAAACTGTTAACCATTGGATTTTCATCACAGTATTCAAGTTCATGTACTTTAAATGGAAGTGTGATTTCGTCTCCTGAATCACCGGAGGAATTTGATTCGGACCCCTGTCTGTTGCTGTTAATTGTACCCTGTTCATTTTGACCCGCAACGTTATTCTCGTTTAGTGCAGAGTTAGATTTAGAAGTGACATGAGCAGGGCCGTTCTCCTCTAAATTTACAGCGGGGGCATCATGCACTTCCACTAAAGAATTAGAGTTATCATTGATGACTGGAGCAACTGAAACAGATGCAGAATTCGTGCTCTCCCCACTATCACTGCCATCATCAGCAAAGTCAAATGAACCATTGGAGGAAATGGACTCTGACTCTGAAGTTATAGGAGAAGTATTCCAGCCAAAGACTGGATTCATTGCTCCTGACCCCTTGACATCAGTTTTGTTCACATATTTTTCAGAATCGAAAGACCAATCATTTAACTTCGAATTTTTAGTTGAGTCTTCACTAATATGTGAAGCATGTAAAGCTTTATCTGAATAGGTTACATTTTCAAGAAACTGTTGCAAATCGCGTTGAACATCAATGAAAGAGGCATTATTACCTACCTCCTCACCTGATTTCTGAATGTTTGCATTGGGAGAATCGTTCATTCTCTGTCCAGCTGTTAAGCTCGGTTTGAGGGGTTCACAAGTAGCAGAAATGTCATTCGCCTTTAGACTGCAGGTACATACATTTCTAGGTCTTCCTGAAGGGAAGTCGGGGGAGGTAAATTTCTTTGATTCAGAAAGTGGAGCAGGATTTTCAACTGGAACAGCCTTCATACAAGAGTCCTGGAGATTCAGGGTTGCAACTTTTTTCTCACATTCAGAAAAAACTGAGTCATTTGCGTCATTTGACGGTGAAGATAAATTATTTCCTATTTGACGATTGTTAGGGGCAGAAATTTCCTCAGCACTTTCACTTTTGACATTTGATGTAGATGTGGCATTTGACTCAGTTCCTAGTAAAAGAGCTAAATTGCGGAGATCATCGACATGAATAGTAATGTTAGCCATTCCTTTGGCAATTTTCGGAGGCGTGTCCTTTTCCTCACAACCTTCAGGTGACAGAATCTTGCTGAGTGCCATAGCAACATCCTTCGCACAAAACTTCAACAAGAGAGCAAAAATTTTTGCAACATCCAAGGGATCGGGAGATGGAACATTGGTTGATGGAGTACTTCTATTCTCCTTAGCTTCATTTCTTCTTCGATCAAGAAGGATTTTCTTAGCTTTCGCAATATACTGGTCATTGCTAGAAGTGGTTGCATTTTGTGGTGCAAATAATCCTCTTCTGATTTTATTGCGAGGAGCAGCTTCTCTGCAAGTTGGCTTTTGTGACATTTCATCGTGACTTGAGGAGGAAGTAATTTTCGCCTTTGAGTCTTTATTAAAGTGCACGGTTTTAGCGATACCTCGGGCATTTAGGGAAAGGGAGGGAGGATTCCTTCTTTCCAAATCAGTTGTTTGTGGTTTTATATCAATAGAACTGGTTTCACTTTGTTCTGATGAATATATATTCAAAGATTTGGAAGATGAGCTACTAGAACAATCCTCCTCCTGATCAATAATGGAAGAGCTGTAACTCGTTTCATGCTCTTCAGAGCTTGAATCGGTATCGGAACTTTGTGAGTCGTTTGTAGATTCAGTCTCACTTTGAGAAGATGAGGAAGTTAATTCTTCATCAGATGATTCCCTAGAATGTTCACTTTGCCCGCCAGAGAATGTTTGAGGGCTTGTAGATGAAGTGCATTCTTCGTCTTCTTCACAATTAAAGTGACGGAGGCTTTCCTTAAGATTTTTCCTCCCCAGTCCATTCCTCTCCACTAACCAGGATATAATTCCGTTTAGTTTTGATGATCGTGAGCAGCTCTTCATTTCTTTTCCGATCCGATGGGCATTTTCCGTTCTAACTTTCCCTGTAGCAGACATCGAAGATGTATTTTCTTTGGCGCCATTGTAGAAATTATAGTATTTCTTAATTAAGCGTCGCTGATCCGCTAACAGCATACCAGTAGTATCCAAGTTTCTGATTAAGCGATCCTCCAATACAATTTGAATAGGAGATGAGGGAGGCGAATTGGTCGAAATTTCTTTTTTAAGCAATTCCATCATGTCCGTCAGTGTGTCCACTAAGATTTTATGCGTATGCACATTGTCAAGATTCCTTGATTTAGGTAGAGAGTGGTTTGAATCATGGGGTTTCGGTGGTACGGTCAACTTAATATTGGGCGCAAAAGAGATAAAGTTATCCACATCAATTTTACCGGCACCTCTTGTAAAACGAGGTCCAAGACATTCCAAAATTGGCTTAGTGATCAATTGATCTAAATTTGCAACATTCGAAGAATGGATCGTATTCGGATCCACAGTTCCTTCCATTAGTTTGGATGAGTGTGAAGAGGCTTTGCGCTGCTTCATATTGAGTTGCAATCGAAAAAGATTTAAATGAGTTCTCCTACACAGATGTCCTTCAAATTTGTTTGAACTTTTAATTTGTGACTACAAATCTAATTCAAATTAATTATTAATACGCAAAATTAAAAATTAAAATCTCGAAGCTTTTTTACAAATAATAAAATTTTATTGTTTATCAATAATAGTAAATTTATAATCATCGCTTTGCCAGGATTTTCTTCATCGTTGTTTTAGACACAAAATGCAGGAAATTAGCCATTAATGTTAACTTGAATTTATTATAGATTTCTAGAAGCTGTGGTCTGTAGCGGATTGCTACACGAATAAGCCCTGACTTGACATTTGTAATCTTAATGGCAAAACCGCTAGTATGGAATGGCACCCAAAATTGGCTAAGCCACTTCAACGATATAGTGGAACCATGTATGACGTTGAATGCGTATATTTATGTTGATACAGAGCTTAGTCATCAAATTCGGCTTTGGGTACGGTAACCCAACAACGACAATTGATTTTTGATTATTTGGGGGTCTCTGTACTCATGACTTTATTTGTTCCATAACGCGATCGAGAATGTTCGAGACTTCATGAGATTGCCTAGTCATGCTGTAATAGAGTTATATACATCCCAAATCTAGTAGGTATTTATGTTAGATTTATTTTATGATCTAGGAGGTAGAAGAGAGTGAATCAGGGAGTTAGGAGAAGCCTACTTTGTCTTAATTCGAAAAATTACCAGGTTAACAACTTTCATCAGTCTGAAATTCGATCAAACGCGATTCTTCTCTTCGTCATCATTTCGTTCGGAAATCTGGTTTGTAGAAGAAGATGTAATTTTCACTTTATTAACCTTATAAACAAATAAATTCACTTATATAGGCTTGAATTGTGCGATAACTGATTTTTACCCTGATTAGCCACTAATTACATCGACGGCTTCCCGAATGGTGATTAAGATGTCCAGGTGTGATTATAGGAATCCAATAATCGATAAACCTGTGCATAGGAGAAGAAATTTGTGAGTTTCCCTGGCCTATAAAGTAAATGTTCATTCATGCCTGCCAATATCATCAACTGCAGCCTTTGTGTTGGAATTTTATAAAAAATTCGATGATAACCTGCCTCTGCGATCTCACTTTATTTCTCCCAAGCACACAATTGTTGATGGGGCTGACACACATCGTATAAATGCTTTCTGCCTCTGAGCCCATCTTAATTGTCTGTTTAGGGCATTTAATTAATTATTTTTCACCCATGTGTAATCTGATATGAAGTATTTTTGTGAAATGTCTTTGAGTAATAGGACTTCTATTGAGTAAGAATTAGAGTTTGACAAAAAATCTTTGAGAAGCCTTTAAAACATGGGGAGAGAAGACACCTTCTGTCAACGAGAAGTCCTGCAAGAAAGTGGTCTTAAATCTCAATGACGAAGAAATGTATTCTATTTAACGAAAATCTGAAATTTAATAACCATTAAATAAACATTCGACCAGACACGGCTTTTTCCAACGCGAAATCTGACAAAAGTCGAGAGCCTACCATTTAGTACCATCTCCATTCAAGTTGTATTGGGGTTAAATCTTAACTTGGCAAGCGGAATAAATTGCGAATTTGCGGAGATTGCCAAATATAATTTATTGATTTTTAAATAGCAAAACTGGTCGTTTAGGCAATAAGTTTTCTCTTTTCCTCTTTGTTGTGTCTGACTAGATGCCGCTTTTATAAATGACATAAAACAAGTTTTGAAAGTGGAGATTCTCATTAGCTCATAATTTATGATTATGGAATAGGGAGAATATGATTCCGTTAAGGAGAAATTACTTTAAATTGAAGGAAATATATTTCAACAAACACTTCTAAAGTACTCTTTCTGAATTTGGCAAGGCTTAAAAGAACAGAGAACCTCAATATTTAAAGCACACTATCTTAAGCGGATATTGTCGGATTGTAAGTTAGCTCAGATCGTTAAAAAGAACTAGGAGAGAGAAGTACATTTAGTCCAAAACACATTAATAGCCCACCGAATTGTCGACACCATTATTGATGTGAATGGTTTAAACACAAACACAACGAAGTCAATGCTTGGTGTAATGTCGTCGTAGGAGATTAGGGAGCATACATTAATAAGAAAGGTTTCATGAATAGCTTTGTTTGTCGATTTCAAATAGGATAGAAGTGTAAAAGCTTTATGTATACTGACGATTACCTTCGTAATCCAGAGGTGAGCGATAGACTTAACTCCACATGGTGCAGCCTGGGCAACGTAGACTCAAACGACAAATAAGTTTATTAACCGGCAGTTGACTTCTCACTTCAAACTACCATGGCCCCACTGTATGCCAACTTCAACAACTTCAACTGTACTCACCTTACTCTACTCTCTGCCTTTGCATCAGTCTCTATAACATCTGTGAATCGTTCTTCTTTTCCCCATCACCACATTTTGTGACTTTGATGTTCCTCCACTCTGTGAAACCCGAAGTCAACTAAAGGTCTAATGACAACTACCATAAGGCTTGCCATTTAATATAAGTAAATAAATAATCTTTTAAATCTTAGGCCGTTCTTAACTTTCGATTGGTAAAGTTATTTTTAAAAATGATTGGCTTTAAGGAGGAAATGAAAATGGGAGAGCATATTTGAAAAATCCTTAATAGAAAAAAAACAACAACCTCTCACACTTATTTTCTTTGTATAAACTTCCCCAAGATACGCCTTAATTTCTTGAAGTTTTAAGTGTAAACGGGACAAACTCTCTCAAATTATAATTAACCATTTAAATTAAGTAAGGTGCTCTCGCAAGTAGTTAATTAACTCGGAAAGCAACTAGTGCATTTTATTGAGTTCAAATGGTTGTGACCTCGCGACTTGCAGCGGTTTTATGGCCTCCAAAGCAAAGACACGTAAGTTGATGTCATTTCCAATGTGCTCGGAGTTGAGGCTATGAACAGCTGGGCAAATCACCATCACATCGAAAATTTGTTTCACCTTTTGGTAATTGCTTGGTGGGCATAATCTACAGCAGGAGGGTTATTCAAACTCACGCGTGATTTAACACGTGTTTAATGTCATTGAAATTGTTTTTTTACTGACCTGGTGTCTAAATTGATGCTTTGAAAAGTCACCTTAATAATACCCCCCCCAAGTCCAAATTAGTCTACTCACTACTCAATACTTAATAAAAATTCAGTTATCTTAAGAACAAATAACCACCCCGTTTTCTTAAGCTATGAAAGACGGAGATTTATTGAAGTAAACAAAGTCTATCAACTTAATTAAATAACCATTCATCATAGACAGAAATTTCTTCACTAATCCATGGAACAGATTATAAAAAGTCGGATTTTGAAAAGCGATTTTTTCAGCAAGTAAGTAGCGTAACCCAAATCGAAAAAGCAAATGAAATAAGCAATTTGCTGTCGCTATCTTTTCTTTTGCCATCTACAGTTATTTACCCCAAAATGCGAAATTCTAAAATTTATTTCCATGCTTTGGGTTTTAATAGTAATAATAATTTTATATCTAAAATTAATTAAACAGTCGTGGGTTGTGCGATAGACTTACCTCCAACGCATACTCATACGGCAAAAAGTCTATTATTCAGTAGTTGACTTCTGACTTCAAACTACCATCACCCCACTGTATATCATATTCGACTATTTTTACAGTACTCACCTCACCTTTGTCCATATTCGACCATTTCACAGTACTCACCTCACCTTTTTTCTTAAATTCGACCACTTCAACAGTACTCATCTTACCTTTTCTCTTCGACTTCTCACTTCAAACTACCATCACCCCACTGTATGTCAAATTCGACCCCTTCCACAGTACTCACCTCACCTTTGCTCTACTTCCGACCACTTTCACAGTACTCATTTTACCTTTTTCTCTACCTTTGTGTCTGTCTCTTTACATCTTCACCTTTTTTCTACCTTTGTGTCTGTCTCTTTTACATCTAAACCACTTTTCCGTTCCTCCCTATCGACTTTTTTCACTTTGCTGTTCCTCCTCCCCTCCATGAAGCCTGAAGTCAACTAAAGGGCTAATAATAACTATCAAAACGCCTGCCATTTGATATAAATAAATAAATATCTTCGTAATCCAAGCTGAGAAATGAAATTGGAATATTTCTGACTTCCAATGACAGTTTTGTGGGACACGTTATCGCTGTGTTCGTCATCGTTTGCCTGCATGTCTGCTCGCCAAGATTGGAAGGTGCGGCGTATAACTCTGTGTGCAGCGACCGTACAA